AACAAGAATAAACATACAAAAAAACTCTCTGATTGACAATATTTTTACCAATGCATCGGAGAACGTAACAGTTTGTGGAGTGCATTTGACAGACATTTCGGATCACTTACCCATAGTTGCATGTTTCAAGCAACAATTAGTGAAAATAGAATTTGAAAACCGAGAAAATCAATTTTCTTTTTCAAGACACAGAATTGATAAACTAAATGAAAGACTGCTATCAACCGACTGGACAGATGTGTTACTGTGCTCAGATGTGGATGCTGCTTTCGAACTTTTCACCAACATTTTCCGTGTGGCATTTAAAGACTGTTGTCAGATCAGCTCATTAGGAAAGATTAAAAAAATTTTAAAACAAAAGCCTTGGGTAACAACTGATTTTCGCAGAATGCTGAATAAAAAAAAATACTTGTACAAAAAGTTCATTAAAAATTCAAGTAGTGAGAATTTTCTGAAATTTAAATCACAAAGTCAAATTTGCAACAAGGTTAAATCTATTCTGAAAAGGCAATATTTCTGTGATTTTTTGGACAAAAATAAAAATGACTCGAAAAAAACTTGGTCAATAATTAATAGGTTAACAAGCAGGCAAAAAAAGATCAACCCTGCATTGATCACAGATAATGAACAAATTATAGCATCGCCTGCAAATTTTCTAAATAACTACTTTGTTAACATCTCTCAAAACCTTCAGAAATCCTTACCGGATAATCAACCATGGAAAGAAACAATTCATCATCAGTTGCCAAACTCGTTTTTCTGTTTGCAAACTACAACAGAAGAAATAATAACTACAGCAAAACTAATCAAAGCAAAATCGTCTTTTGGACTGGATGAAATACCTAGTAAAATTGTTATGGCTACCATCCGATCAACAGCACATGTGCTTGAACATCTTATTAATCTGTCTTTTATGTCAGGTCAATTTCCTTCTTGTTTCAAAACGGCTAAAATCATTCCCATAGCAAAGGAAAGAGGAAAATCAGATTTTACGAATTATCGACCCGTCGCACTATTACCTGCTTTTTCTAAAATAATCGAAAAGTTGATGTACAACAGGTTAATCCTTTTTTTAGAAAAAAATCATTTGTTAACGAATTCTCAATTTGGATTTAGACAAAACCATTCAACAGAATTAGCTATTATAGAATTACTTCGTAAAATCGGGAGAGAGACAGAAAATAAAAATTATGTTGTTGGTACTTGCTTAGATCTTACCAAGGCATTTGACTGTATAGACCACAGGATACTTCTGGGAAAACTTGAAAAATATGAAATAAGAGGCACAACACTAAAATGGATACAAAGTTATCTTTCAAATCGAAATCAGTTCGTGAAATGGAAAAATGAAGTATCAGCGATAGTGCTCAATAAATTTGGGGTGCCGCAAGGGTCGATCTTGGGGCCCCTGCTTTTTGTTATCTTCATAAACGACTTGCCAAACTCTTCAACTTACTTTGATTATATCTGCTTTGCAGATGATACTAATGTTTTCAGTGTAGGCAAAAACATCAATGAATTGATTGCAAAAACTAATGTAGAAATTGTGCACATTAGCAACTGGTTTAAAAATAATAAGTTAACAATAAATATGAAAAAAACTCAGATGATTGTGTTTGGTCCAGTAAATTTTTTAAATTATAAAGAACCTTTCAAAATTGTAATAAATGGTTGTGACATCATTGAAAGTAAAGTAGTCAAGTTTTTGGGAGTCTTTCTGGATCAGAAATTATCCTTTCGGTCACACATAGACAACATCTGCTCAAAACTAGCCAAATCTATTTGTATAATAAACAAAATAAAGTTTTTCTTGCCGAGGAGGTGCTTGAATATGCTATACAATGCCTTGTGTATGCCTCAGGTAACTTAC